GTGGTTAACGAGATATTAGTCATCACAACATTGGAGTATTATGTTTCTTGCAAATTTGCAGAAAATGGAAAACGATCTCCCATTTGGTATCTAGTAATAGTAATAGTCCGCTTATATGGCGCTCACATCCAAGCACATTGCCTGCTCACGGCGCTACGTACATTACTATCCCCGATCATAGGACACTTTCGTAGTTTCCGATACTTTTCAACTCCTGGGGGCTGTACAGCCATGCTCCCCAACTTTCACGTGCATTGCATGTGAATTGTGTATTCTGTGACACTACACGCCGAAATTGAAAATCATGCTGTTACATACGGGTATTTTACGGATGGTGCGTTTTGTTGTGATGTTTCAAACATAAACACCATAGGACTCATAAACAGAGCAAAACCTTTTGTGAAAATGAATCACGTTTTAATTCATTGCTACATGAAATTGCTATTTTCATGATGCGTTTCTTTTTTGGGAGAGTATATATCAGGACGAATATCATTTTCGTCATTTGGCTAAGATTTGTCAATTCTTTCTTGGGTTATCGCGCTAACAATCTTTATATTGGCAAAACCCTCAGATTTTTGCTGTGACCTTGACAATTATCTCAAGGTCACTCCATTTCACACTCTTGTGTCGGTGAATCTCGCCAATATACATTGGTACCGAATTTGAACAAAATCCATCATTCTTTCTTGAGTTATCGCCCTAACAAGCTTATCTGATGTATGAAGTGCAACGAAAACAAACACCCACGTATTTACGAGTGATTAAAACTGTTATTACAATTTACGTAAATATTTATTACATTTTACCGCAACGAAAATTATTACAATTTACGTCAATTTTATTACAATTTGCGTATTACAATTTAAGTCAACTTTTATTACAATTTACGTTTTATTACAATTTACGTCAAGTTTATTACAATTTGCTGCAAGTATTACAATTTGCGTTTTTAATACAATTTACGTCGTAAAGCGAGCACCACTCATGACACCTACCAATTCTTTATTGTTGTTTCTGCAAGTCGATTGAAACCCGATTTTGACTCAAATTAACTAAGCGATCTTGACACAAATGGATGATGATATGTCCGCACACAACGGGGGTGTGGCACAAACAACTCGGTACAACTAAAACTGGGAATGTACCGCTTACAATTATGTGTTTACCGGCCTTGTCATGTCGCGCGTGTGTATTATTAGTGTGTGTGTGTGTGTGTGTGTGTGTGCGTGCGTGCGTGTGTCTGTTTGGGTTAATTATGTATTAATCTGTGTGTTTGGTAGCGTGTTAATGTGTGTGTTAATCTATGTGTGAGTGAGTGTGTGTGTGAAAGCTAATTGGTGTCACATGCGTTTACGTACACACGAGATAAGTACACACGTGACCCATTTGCATTTATCAGATATTGGTTCAACCATAACAGTTCTTTAGTTTGAACATTATCAATTAAATCTTTCCATTTTATTTGAAAACGAACTAAGTTACAAATGATGGCATTGACTCATGATTTTGGCGTAGATAGCTCCAAATATTGCTTTTGTCTGGTAAGATGTACACGTCACCACAACCCACTATTCAGAATGGAAATGAACAACGGCTCAGAACTTACGGATTATGCAATTTAGTCCCAGATTATGGGGAGAATTTATCAAATCTATTCATATGTAACTGGATGAAACGGCTTAGATGCTTTGTATATATTATTCTATTTCAATTTATTATATTTTTTAAAATATTGCACTTTATCGAAAAATTTAGTGGTTAACAACTTCTTTCGATCCCGAATCTTTTACTGTTGTCCCCCGTTTGACAACGGTACAGCAATGTGTACAGAAACGTCACGAAACAAAAGACGTTGTTAGCCATTAAGTTTCTCGATATTGTACTTCCCAACTTCTAACAATTCCACTCAAAGACGTAATGTAGCTGCAGGTGGTATTGTCTTATATTTTATGTAAAAGTTAATTTAAATCTTCATTTATAGCAATTGCAATTAATTAGCACTGCATTCATGTAATAATATACTACTCACGATCTGCTAAGGATCACAAAAATTCCCAACTTTACTTAAACATAGATTTATAATTTGAAATTGTATCCATTTAAAACTAAATAAATAATGATATGGTAACCCCTCTTTAGGCAAACAACCACTTTAATCTAACCTTATGCACTTGATACATGAGTTACCATAAAAAATGGGTTTCATGGCACCAATCAACCATTTTGCAAATCATTGACAAGTACACAACACCTGTCAATAGCAGGTATGGGATCCACAAGATGCAGTGACATACTGAAACCTAGGATCCATGCTTACAATACGCTTAGATATTTAAACCAAATTAGACCCCACATCACAGTTTTCTGTTGAATCAATGATTTGATCCTTAGCAAAGTGTGAATAGTATAGATAATAATAATTATGTAGGAGCTTGTTTAAAACAAACATAATATTTCATGGCGTTGGAACACATAACCGGCCTTAGTCCGGCCTGCCAAAGGTCACACAAACACACACAGAGGCGCGCGCGTACGCACACACACAGGCATGAACGCACGCACATGTATCTACGAACTCAATTGAGATTGTTTTATTCGTGCTTTTAATCATTGAGTCTGCAACCGTCCAAGCGTTTCACGACCCGCTATTGGTATAAACATTGTTTCTGGTCTGTTAATCTAAGCTGATTTCTTACTCGTCTTTAAACTTAATTAGTTTGCTGTTTTGCCTTCATTCCAAATAAATATAAAGTTCCGGTGAAAGTTCTTTTGATGAATGAGGCGCTTTACCCCCCGGATGTGTACAACAATGACTTTAAAGATCAAAGTCAATTGTTGATCAAACCTGGCAGTCCTCGCTACGATACTAGTACAAATATATTGAATACCAACGCTCCAGTAAACGCCTCGTTTCCGCAGCAATTTCAGAAACATAAATATTCATACACTTTATCGTTCGACTCAGAACTTTGTAACACAGCCAATGTCTGGCGAAATACAACTCAGATTTCAAGGCAATGTGTCACCGAAGTGAAAAATGAAGGATTCCATAAGTGCCTTTTTAGAATTTATTCTGACGTATTTCACAAGGTGACTTTACGCTCCTCTCTACGATAGTGCGATATATTGGTACTTTCACTTTTTCGCATGCTCTCCGAAAGGTGCCTCGTCAAGGGAAATGGATGGTAGATGGTTACAAATGAGAAAGTTATTGAGTTACACTTCCATTCCTTTCTGTACACGGAAGCCATTGCGAAGCACCCATGCACTCAGTTTTCGTTTTCCAACTATATATCTCTCGTTGCAACAATACCGTATTCGTGGGTTTGTGTATGAACAAAAACTAACAGTGTTCGGCCATAAACTTGATATTTTGTCCACAATACACGCGAATAATTTTGTATATAACACCCCGCTTGTGTAACATGCATTGTGTCATTAGTCCTTCAGCACCTCTGTGATGTTAACCAGAAATAATGGCAACCGAGAGATCTTCATTTTAGGCTCGTGACCAGTAATAAGGCCTGGATCATGATACCCAGACCAAGCTAGAATCCATGTCCCCCATACCGCCCTAGTTAACAGATCAGCGACTGATTTAACCCTCACCCTGGCGTGACCTCATGGAGAGATCGTAGAACTACAAGTGGACTGGGTTGTAAGACAATGAAACAATATTAGTTCTATGTGCGTTGGGCTCTATACGTATATAGTCCCCCTTGTATATTACAAACATCATTTCATATCTTCTTTGAGTGGCATTTAGAAGCTGGTATGATGAACAGGAACTTTATAGCAATGGATGCAACGTTTCGGTGTAGATTTCACTTGCTTGATAACGGTGTTAGTATCTGCACCAAAACGTGGCATACATTGCAATAAAGGCGTCGTCTGTCCACATTGTTCCTGTCCCTCATTTAAAACATTCTCCTAACCACGATCTGTAGGCGTGCCAGGACAACAAGAGGGTCGTTTGACCCGGGGATAAGTAATTGATGGTGATTCTTGTATACAAGACTTGAAGTTTCAGTTGCTCCAGGCACCACTGGAAGTGTGGTTGATAATGGTGTCTTAATACATGACTCTCACACGCCAATACACGTGAGTGTACGTGCATACGCACGTGCGTTATATGTGTCGCATGACATTTGCGAGGCAAAACGGATGATTCTATGGAAAATGGAAATCAAACAACTCCGTATTCATCAGCATGGGAAAATCTTCTAATGCTCTTCTAATGCTAATCCCTTCTTCATTTAGAATGCGCGTCTTTTTAATCCCCCGTCGAGTTATTGTTGTCACAAATGCTTGAATAGAATATGACACGGGCGCAAATCAATGTGTTCATGTCGTTTATGTCGTAAATAACAACACCAGTGTATTGAAGCATTGGACCTGGATCTGAAGTGTCTGCCACTTCTTACTTAAGAGTGGTGATCATCTTCTACAGCCTTGTAACGAGAATCTGCAGACCGAATCAGTCAATACGCCCTAAGCATTAACAAAGTAATTTACTGTATGGTGAAATTAAAACAGTAATGGTTCTACGTCTGAGAGGCCATAGACATCAAGTGAATAGAATTATAATGAAGAGTCAAAATAAGAGTACGTGAAGTGACACAGTACGGACACATACACGTAAGAAACACAAACAATATGGTGGTTGAGGAGGAAAGAGGAGAGAATCAAGTACAAGAATGACGCAAATATGTCTGACGTTGAACCCAAACACTCACTGAAAACAAAACGAAACAAAATAAAGTGAAATTTAAAACAAACAAACGTGCTTTCGTGTATCAGATCAAGTTGTAACTTACAATGTGTGCCGCCACAATGAGTTTAATCACAAATGATGGTTTCCTATCGACATATAAATCAAAGGTGATGGACTATCAGCAGGATCCTGGACAACACCTAATATTCGTGTCGTGGTTTGTTTAATTACATGGGACACGGTAATGATGAAATATTATATATATTTTTTTATTTGTTCTCAGGTACTGGGAGTATCCCTCTTGGCCACCTTTGCCGGTAAGATATTTCAGATATTAAAATAGTTTTCTAATAATGGATTTTACTCTCCGTTTAGTGATCGCGTGACATGGAGACGCTACTGCATCTCGACAAGTAAGCAAACTCGACATCTCCCAGATAAGCTTGGTACCAAAAGAATGAGTGAGTTTAGTTTTACGCCGCCTTTATCAATATTCCAGCGATATCACGGTGGGGGACACCAGAAATGGGCTTCACATTTTGTACCCATGTGGGAAATCGAAGCCGGCGTGACGAGTAAACGCTTTAACCACTAGGCTACCCCACCGCCCTTGTACCAAAAGAAAATGGAAGCTGAGCGCCAACCTACAGACATATCTGTCCTGTAATATTCTGTAAAGAACTATTTGGCACCAGTTTGCCTGTCACAAACAAGGCACTCCAAGTTACTGTAGCATGAGGACTGATAGCATGAGCGACTACCCATGCCAGCGGTGTGTATGTACACATACCCGGTTTGGTAACGGGTCAACTTCTTTCTTTGAGTGGCATTTTAGAAGTTGGGAAGTACAATATAGAACAAACTTTATGGTTACGGGTTGATCCTAGTATTCTGAGGTTTTGAGAGTAAACTGGCCATAATACCCCCGTACTCACCAAGAGGTAATGCTTAGGACAGACCATGAACAATCACATATTGACCAATATTCACTCCCACAGTTTCTTCTTTCAGGCTGTGCAGATTTCACGGGTACAGAATTTGCTGTGATGTTTGCCGAAAAGGATGAGTTCCCTGACATGTCTGTGTCATATATACTCTTTACAATCAGTGGACCGGCAAACACTTTAGTCACAATTTCATCACCTGGACATACCTATATGACCAACCATCGTATTGGTTCTAATGGACGACTGAATGTCACCTTACCTGAATACATGAAACACTGGAATAGTTTGATTATTGAACCTAATGGCATCATCGTATCTGCCAGTGCTGCCGTAACCGTCAGATGTATCAACAAATACGCTAATGTGTCACAAGGATACACGGCCATCCCGAAACATTCAGCATCAACTACCTATATAGCCGTGTCTCACGACCCTGCTGGCAGATATGCTTCATATATCCTGGTAACAGCCTACGATGATGCCACCACTGTCGATGTCCACTTCAAATTTCCAAGGCCGGGTAAATGTGTCAACATGGATACTGAAGTAACCACCGGACACTCGCTGACCTTCACCCTCAACAGCCTTGACGTATGGGGAGTGCGGTGCGACCAGGATCTGACCGGTACCTCGGTTACAAGTTCGGCACCAGTTGCAGTTGTTTCTGGCCTCGCCAGTTTGTTCTCTGCGTTGCCGTTTCTGGAGACGATGCTTCTACCGGTTGACCTTTATGGAAATAATTACGCGTTGCCTAGTTACACAGCAGGATCTATGTACAGAGTCGTTGCAGCATCTAATGACACATTGGTATCTCTCGCGAGAAACACGAAGATGTTGCTAAGTGCCGGCGACTTTCTGGACGTTCCTGAAAGTAATTCCTTGACGTGCATGACGACAAATAAGCCAGTACAAGTCGTCATGCTAGGAGTGACGTCATCCGTTGGTGCTCATACAATTGTATCATCCCTAGCTCATCCCATGATGATGCCAATGCCACCAGTTGAACGTTTCCTGACTTCTTACAACCTCTACGTTGAAAGCTCATCAACCATGGTTTCTGAACACATTACCTTGGTGGCTCCAAGCGACCACATCGATGAGCTTGCTGCTTCCATACAGTTCGTGATGATAGCAGTTAACGAAACAAGCCAGTGCTGTAACATGTCTCAAGTCACAGGTGTCGTGCCAAATGGCACCACCGTGAATTTGGCCAGTAGTGTTCCATTCACTATCATCTACAATCATTTTCACGTTCCATCTGGCGCACTTCATGGCTATTTCGGCGGAGCAAATCTAGGTAAGAAGGTTCCTATTACTTTTAGCTTGTGTGTTTTTGTTATGATGGGGGGGGGAGTTGTCCGGGAGGCAATTTACCCAGGGGGCAGTTGTCCGGGGGGCACAATGGACGGGGGGCAGATAGCCAGAGGGCAGTTGTCCGGGGGGCAGTTAGCCTAGACCCGAAAGTTCCATGTATTGCTTTAGAGATTAACACTAATAGTTTGGCTGCTTTCCTATCTGGATTACATAGGATAGACCAGAAACTCTCATAGTCCCTGAACCACATTATTCTCCCTCTGCCTAGCCCTACCTGCAATGCTATGCCCTAAGTGAAGCAAGTCTAGATTTCCTCAGGTTCTGAATATCCCATCTGACAGGAGCTCCTTTTCAGTTTAAATGGGTTTATTTGTTACTATCAAAATTACATGTATTCAGAGACTAGGCGTTAGTTAGTCTAACCAGAAACCAGATAGATTCGAATCACAGATCACCACAGTTTCTTAATTTGTCTGTACGTCACCGCTTCTCCTGGGTATCCTGGCTCATCACTGAAGGTGTTGCTTCTACATTCAGCTGGTCCACTGGGATGTCACTACAATGCCCCTACTCGTGCATCTTGGACAAACATTCTCAAACATTTCAAGGAATAGCCTTGGCGGTTGAACATTAATTTCCTTTAGGATTATTTACACAAGAATACGCAAATGTTGTTGCTAGTTAAAATGTATTCCAACAGTTGCTATGTGTGATATGAGAGGTCACAAATGTATAGCGATAGATGCCATGAATGCAGCAGAACGAAGACTAGCACTCAGTCAAGTGAAGGAACAAGTTAAGACATTGTCTGCTTCAATATTATCGATCATATTGCTCATACCACCTATTTTCCATATCATTGTTCGTACTGCCTGGTTTTATATCATTGTACAAACTGACTGCTTCCATATCCTTGTAAATACTGACTGCTTCCATTATCATTGTTCATACTGACTGCTTCCATATTGTTGATACTGACTGCTTTAATATTGTTGATAATGACTGCTTCCATATCATTGTACAAACTGACTGCTTCCATATCATTGTAAATACTGACTGCTTTCATATTGTTGATACTGACTGCTTTCATATTGTTGACACTGACTGCTTCCATATAATTGTACAAACTGACTGCTTCCATAATCATAGTTCATACTGACTGCTTTCATATCATTGTTCATACCGACTGCTTTCATATTGTTGATACTGACTGCTTTCATATTGTTGATACTGACTGCTTTCATATTGTTGATACTGATTGCTTTTATATCATTGTTCATACGGACTGCTTTCATATCATTGTTCATACAGACTGCTTTCATATCATAGTTCATATCACCTGCTTCCATATCATAGTTCATACCACCTGCTTCCATATCATAGTTCATACGGACTGCTTTCATATCATTGTTCATACGGACTGCTTTCATATCATTGCTCATACAGACTGCTTTCATATCATAGTTCATATCACCTGCTTCCATATCATAGTTCATACCACTGACTGCTTCCATATCATAGTTCATACGGACTGCTTTCATATCATTGTTCATACGGACTGCTTTCATATCATTGTTCATACGGACTGCTTTCATATCATTGTTCATGCGGACTGCTTTCATATCATAGTTCATATCACCTGCTTTCATATCATTGTTCATACTGACTGCTTCCATATCATTGTTCATACTGACTGCTTTCATATCATTGTTCATACCACCTGCTTCTATGTCATAGTTCATACTGACTGCTTCCACATCATTGTTCATACGGACTGCTTCCATATCATTGTTCATACCACCTGCTTCCATATCATTGTTCATACTGCCTGCTTCTATATCATAGTTCATACTGACTGCTTCCATATCATTGTTCATACGGACTGCTTCCATATCATTGTTCATACCACCTGCTTCCATATCATTGTTCATACTGACTGCTTCCATATCATTGCTTACATATCATTGTTGATACTGACTGCCTCCATTTCATTGTTCATACTGACTGCTTCCATATCATTGTTCATACTGACTGCTTTCATATCATTGTTCATACCACCTGCTTTCACCTCATTGTCCATACTGCCTGCTTCCATATCATTGTTCATACTGACTGCTTCCACATCATTGCTGAGATTATAAGGTAATATTACCAGTTTCCACACCTTTGCACATATGGACTACATTGATGCTATTCCACAGAAAATAGCTTTGCCCAAATTTAAAGCTTTAATTGAACGACCCGGGTCCTGGTGTTGACGTCGCCAAGTATCAGTCAGTATGTTTTGACGATGACTTTAATAGCGATTAATCGATGCGCGCGATCGACAAAAGGTTTTAGCATGTTATGCCATGATTTACGCCATTTAATGTCCTAACAAATCATTATACAAACGAACATATTGAAGCTATTGGGCATTTTTACAAATATAAAATGTAATTCCATTAAACATCGAAATCGAATAACCTGAACTGAACTTTCTGCTGCTGGGCAATTACAATGGCAACAGGAAATACAGGTACTAGCAATAAACTCAGTGATAATAACATTTACCTAGCAACACCTTATTGTGTCTGTCGAATATCTTGTAGTGAGTGAAACACTCAGTATAATAACAATTAGGTCACGGTGACCTGTAAATAATCATTGGATGGAGCATGTCAATTTCTCAAATTGGCGTACGCTCTTATCAGATTACAATAATAATTCCTCATGTATATCATACTGTCACACATTAGTTTTTGAATGAAAGTCATTCTTGTCATTCCAGACCCTGTGACCTGTCCAGTCAGTGACGGTTACCAGTATTTGAGTGTGCCGAGTCTCTGTTTGAAGGTCCACACCACAGTATTGTCCTGGACAAAGGCCAAGGATGCTTGTTTGGCGAGCGGAGATCGCCTGGTCAAGTTGGACACTGAGCAGAAGAACATTGCTGTGGTCAATTTGGTGACCAATACCGGTAATGTCTGGAACGTCACTTTTTACTTTAATGTACGTGTAAGAATCCAGCACTTTTTACAATGTCCTCAGACGACTGCGGATACTCGTCCCAGAAAATGCACCCGTTCGCTATCCGGTTCTGTGATGAGCCATAACCGCCATTTGGAATTTAACGATTCTTAACAGACCGGCGTCATATAACTGTACTATTGCTGTTTGCGGGGTTAGTATCAACACACCAAAAATATGTTAAACTTTGTTCCCAAACCGTGCATATGTACAACCGCCTTCCAATGAGGTACATACTAATATCCAACCAGTGAAGCCACGGCCTTGTTCCAGAACATGCTACTAATACATCGGACAAATTGCAATAGTTCTCGTGCAACAGGTGTTGTGTTCATCGGGGCCCCGTTTCACAAAGCTCTCGTCAGCCTAAGATCTCGTACTTTTTCTCGTAGCATTCGTGCCTCCTATACTGTAACATAGGGAGCACGAATGCTACGAGAAAAGGTATGAGTCGTGGTCGTAAGTCTATGTTCAAGTATGGAAGTTACAATCATCCTAGCGCTACGATCGCTTTGGGGACTGGGCCCAAGGCCTAGATTTTCGAAGCTCTCTTAGCGCTAAGATAGTCACAAGTTAATGTCAATGTATGGTACTTACGACTATCTTAGCGCAAAGAGAGCCTGTTCCAAAAAGTGATCGTAGCGTTACGACTGTCGTAAGTGTATGATGAAGTGAGGAATTTACGAACATGTCATCACTCAGATCGCTGGGCCCTCCTCTGCACCTTGTGTAAGCAGAGATTCCTTATGAAGTACGATTTTTTTCTGTCGTGAATTTCACCTTCACGTATGATTTATTACTTCCATTAAAATAACACGCGTTATTATTACAATAGAAATAGTCCGGGAGACGGAAAACCGTTGTGCTCACCATGTGAATAATGGGCGATGCACTCCTGTTTTTTTTTTAGTTCCAGCTATCCCATCTATAGGTGCGTGGATTGGGCTCCAGAAGTACGATGTGTGGGAGTGGACGGATGGAGAGAGTTCAAACTACACTGACTGGTATCCCAATCAACCTGATAACTCTGGAACGTGTGCCCAACTTCTGTCCTCGGTTCAGTTCCAATGGGACGACTTCAACTGCGCCGTCAACAACTCGTATGTCTGCGAAAAGGTTCTTCTTGATCCAACGTCTACGACAATAGTCAACACTATGTGTAATGGTACGTATGTTTCACGCCATCATAGAATGGATAGGGTTTATGTTGCCAAAGCCAAATATATTATCTTTATATCTCGATCACAAAGCAGGATTTACTTTGGAAAAGCGCAGTTTATCAATGATGTTGCTTGTTCAATGAACAATTTGTTATGCGTGACACTTTACTGGAATTAGTTGTTTTGAAGCAGTAAACAACGCACAATGAAAGGGTCAGTCCCAAACACTGACGTTTCTAGGACATGGCTAACCTTCTGCAGAACACCCGGTGTTATAGCTGATATTCATCCATAAACGTTTGGCAACTAACTGGCCGAATTTTCACAGGAATGTATACTAGGCACATAAAGAAACTGTGCATACAAAAATTTAAAATCTAAATTGATCAAACCTGTGTAGACACATAAGGATTTAAACTCAGAGATTAGTGACATGTATCCAACATGCATGCACGTGCCACGTTCCGTGACGGCAGTGGGTTCGTCCTTGAGACGTGCAATACGTTGTTGCACGTGCATTCCGGGAAAGAGAAACAGAGCAAATGAATGCCACACAATACTGTCACTTTGGAAAGCTCAACCCCTGCCCTTGCGATCGTTCAAAAAATCAAACGGCTATTGAAACGCATGGCATGCCAAGGCTCACGTCTGCACAACGTCATGAGGCCATTGGGATGGTCCGTTGGGGAATGTCTCAACGACAAGTGGCTGCACATTTCCACTGCCACCGGAACACCATTTCTGCACTGGTGAGACGCTACCAGAACACAAATGACGTCATCGATCCGCCACGTTCTGGACGTCCACGTGTAACAACGCCAAGACAGGACATATGGATAAGGGTGACCCATCTTCGCCACAGGTTTCAGACTGCAGTGATGACTGCCCGAACCATCCCAGGACTTCGCCGTATCCACCCAACACAGTTCGACAACGTTTACGTCATGACGGGATCAGACCACGACGTCCCGCCATACGGCCTATCCTGACACAACGTCATCGACAAGCTCGCCGAATGTGGTGCCGAAATCATGTCCGCAGACCCTTGGTTTGGTGGAGAAATGTTGTTTTAACAGATGAGTCCAGGTTTAACATTTCCCATAGTGATGGACGTCAACGTGCCTATAGACGCGTGAGAGAACATTATGCACAGGCCTGTGTCTTGGACAGGAATCGCTTTGGTGGTGGTTCCGTGATGATTTAGGGTGGAATAACAGCACGCCAAAGAACTCCTTTGGTGATTGTTCAGGGCAACTTAACTGGTGTGGGCTACAGGGATCAGATTCTTCGACCTGTGGCAATTCTTTTTCTGCAACGTCATGGCCCTTGGTTCACATTCCAACAGGACAATGCCCGCCCTCATACGGCAAGGGTTGCTATGGATTTCTTGCAACACCACAACGTTGACTTACTGCCTTGGTCTGCAAATTCACCGGATCTCTCCCCGATAGAGCATGTTTGGGAAGAGATGAATCGACGTCTACGCCGTCTTCCTCATCCGCCAGATAACGTCCTTGACCTTGCAACAGAACTTGAGAGAATCTGGCGTGACATCCCACAAGCCTTCCTTGCACGTTGATAGGCTCTATGCGTCGTCGATGCACTGCTGTTCTCAATTCCGATGGTGGACATTTAACAGTTAAGTAGTGTTGAATAGAAGCCAACATTTAACAGTTAAGTAGTGTTGAATAGAAACCAACATTTAACATTTTAGTAGTGTTGATTGGTGATGAACAGTGGACACACTTCATACCATTCATTCACCTGATTAAGGAGTAAGGATATACTCGATGTGTTCCTCAAAATAAAGACGTTGACATCCATAAAAATTATCTTTCTTATGTGTATCACTTCTAAATGCCATTCAAAGACCCAGAGTCACATAGTGTGGGAAGTTTACAAAGAGCCCACTGTGTACAGGCATGTGTACGTTTGTCTGTTTCAGATGACATCGCTGGGTGTCCGGCGAGTTCCGGCTACATGCATGTAGCGTATTCCAACACAACAATGTGTCTGAGAATGTCCGACACCCGCCAGACATGGGCCGAGGGAATGACCGACTGTCAGAACACGGGGGGTCACTTGGTCAAGGTCGACACTCAGGAAAAAAATGAGTTACTATACACCTACCTTAAATTGGAAGCTACAGGTCATTTAGTCCTCAAACACATTCTTCAAACTAAACCTTATTCTAGTCTCTTCATATTCGATGTGCACTCAACAGACTTTCCCCTGCATCTTGTTGAATGTCTTTTACGCCGCTTTTAGCAATATTCCAGCAATATCACGGCGACCGATACCAGAAAAAGATTTCACATATTGTGCCCATGTGGGGAAGCGAACCCGGTACATGAAGATGACACACCGTGAGGTATATCCATGTCACTCGATCACTCATTTGATTGCTCAGTATTAATATCAGAAAGCATTAGTAGTTGCGGTTTCAGTGTCAGCGCTCCTCAAAGTGGTAACAACCTCGATATTGCCCGAGCTATTACTGTCGCAGTATTGTATCGTTTCCGTAGATGCACCAACCGAACATGGTTGTCGTGTTGAAGTGACGTCACACATGGAGTGTTGCTCTGCTCAAGATAAGGTCTCCAAAGAGATGAAAATGTATTTCGATTGCCATTAAATTGTGTTGCAACTTCGTTTTGCACCATTCCTCTCTGCCGCTTACCACAGGGCATAGACGCTGATGTTCAGCAAGCCACGACAGCGTGTGAGTGTAATGTACATCATAGACAGATGCTCATATCAGCACGTGATAGCTTCATCATTGTTTACTGTTCACATTAAAAATATTTTGTGAGGGCATTGCATTTCCTACTGATGTTGCAACCATCCAAATTGTCAAGGAGACGTCATCATGAATATATGGTGAAAGGTGCATTATTAGACGTAACAATATTTTCAATTTCATTCAACTTATATGATCCACTTTTATTCCGCTTGAATATGGAATTTTGTGAGTGCTCCTCGCAGGGAGCCGCAAATAAGCTCCGAATTCTTCACCTTTCCAAGCATTGAGTATTCTAATACCGTTATTAAATCTATGCATGGTTACGCTTTCAGAGACGGATAAGTGTGAAATATGCAAAAATATATACACCATTTGTATTTTCTTGTTTATTATATGTCGATCTAAGGCCACATAACAATAGTTTCTTGTTTCTTATATGTCGATCTAAGGCCACATAAACATTGTTTCTCGTTTCTTATATGTTGATCTAAGGCCACATAAACATAGTTTCTTGTTTCTTATATGTCGATCTAAGACCACATAAACATAGTTTCTTGTTTCTTATATGTCGATCTAAGGCCACATAAACATAGTTTCTTGTTTCTTATATGTCGATCTAAGGCCACATAAACATAGTTTCTTGTTTCTTATATGTTGATCTAAGGCCACATAAACATAGTTTCTTGTTTCTTATATGTTGATTTAAGGCCACATAAACATAGTTTCTTGTTTCTTATATGTCGATCTAAGGCCACATAAACATAGTTTCTTGTTTCTCATTACCGCCCGACCTTTTTTTTTTATTTCTTTCACTTTTATATTTGCGAGTATAAAGCCGACAGACTTCCGAAATCCGTCTCAGCTTCCGACATTCCAAATTTTCGACTAACATTGTACAGTAAATCAGAAATAAATATATTACAAGAACAAAATCAAATCCGCCCTACCAACCCATTTAAAAAATGTTAGTCTATGTGGCCTAATCTTGTGTTATTATAAAGTTTAAATATTTCCTATGGTTCTGTCGGACCATCCATAGATGAGTTGAACATCCACTCTACAGTACTTGCTCCGTGTACTTGTAATGTGGTATTATTTCAGACCACCGTTACTACATTGGCCTGTGGGACAGTGACAATACTGCGGCCGTGTGGACAGACTGTACCGTATCTAACTACACCAACTGGTATGGAGTAGAACCGAACCATCTGTCTGAACAATGCGCACAAATGAATTTACATGAGAATGGAGGATGGCTTGATGTCCACTGTAATGATAAGAAGATATCTATATGTGAAGCAGACACTATCAGTAAGTGCTACAATTGATTTCAATACTCGTTTTGAATGTTTTACTCCCATAAGAAATGTTTGCCAATACACATTGTAGGATATGCAACTCAATTTAACATCTCTGGCTAAGGCTATAAAGTCTTGTTGCCAGTCTCTTTCTTAATCCCTTACAACAACATGGGTTCGAATCCCGGTTTGGCAAATTTATGTTTCTAGGTTTGTGTGAGCCTTCCCTTCCTCTATACATCACAATAATCAGACAGACCGTAATGTATGTGGAATAGTGTTCAACGTGCTGTTGAAGCACCTGTCTCCATATCGCTGACAGATTCCCGGGGCCGGGGGAAGCCAGTACAGCATAGCTGTGGCACCACAAGATAGTCACAGGGGCTTGATCTGGGGGCTCTATAATTCCTTGTCCTATAATTGTGTACATCTGCAAGGCAGTGGGGCTATTTCCTTCTGGAAGACGTGTTAATGTAATACCAAGAAGAACTGTGACACAAGGTTTGGTTGCAGTTCTCGAAATATGAACGAAACTCTTTTTCAAAAGTACGCCCGACAATGCCTAGAATATGTGCACACTACGCACATGCAGAACACTGTGAATTAATATTTTTACCTCAGGGGCCAAAACACGGGAATACACTGATTTGGGTGTAAAATAACACTCACCTTAAGATCTACGTCGAAAATATTACCACACCTGAAAACCTGGCCCCGGAACAAATTTTCAATGATCCATTTAAATACGTCATTGCTATTTTGCTTTTAGTTTGTTCTTTAACTTCGAGCTTTTTAAATCTCTCAATATGTAAACATAATAGGATAGGTTTGATTATAAGATTCATATGTTCAGGTTCCTTTTAACACCACGTGATCTATCATCATTTTACCAGGCAACCATGTTGTTGGTCACATAGACGAACACGGCACGTTCCAGTGTAACGCCTCTGATGTCGTGACGTCGTCGTACAGCAGTGATGTAGCGACCACAGTCGTTACCGTCTTTAGCAGTGCCCCCGTGGAGACGACATCCACAACAGCGACCACAGTCGTTACCGTCTTCAGCAGTGACCCCGTGGAGTCGACATCCATAACAGCGACCACAGTCGTTACCGTCTTCAGCAGTGACCCTGTGGAGTCGACGTCCATCACAGCGACCCCTTTTTCGGGAACACAACCACCATTGCACAATATGGCAACAACTACGGAACCATCGACATCCTTTCTCACTGAGCCAACGCCGTCAGTCACAGCAACGTCAGCATCCTTTCACACAGACCCGACTCCGTTTAACACTGAAACGGCCGCGCTAGAAACACAAGCCTTTTCTTCAACGTTGGCATCTTCAGAACTACTACAGTTAACCGATCCAACAGGTGTTCAACCATACGGACCAACGACCATTAGCAAAGATATGGAAAGCAAACTGACCGATGACCACAACCCACAACGTGTGACGAGAGAAGTGTGTCGTTGTGCTTGTATTCCGCCCGGAAGACTAAGTCAGTTATCTCCCCTTGTTGTGAAGAGAAAGGCAGAAGAAATCAGAAGGGAGCTTATTCTAAACACCAAAAACCTTACAAAAACAATTGCCCAGTTCAAAAGTGCTGAAGACGAAAGAAAGTCTGCTGTTGGTATAGGGATTCTTGGTGTGTTCCTCATTACGTTTCCGATGACATTGATGATCTTGTCAGATCTATGCACGATGAAGTTTCGGAACTAAATGAGGCGGCGGCGATGGTAGTCTAGTGGGTAAGGATTTCGCTCTTCTCGCCGAAGACCTAGGTTCGAATGCTCAGATGAATTCAATGTGTTAAGCCTATGTCCGGTGTCACAGACAAAGACATTGCTGTAATGCCACATGTGGCGTGAATAACATACATGTACAGAGGTAAGGTGGAATATGTACCGAGTCGAAAAAGGCTACTGCAACTTAGGGCTGAAACCATGTACACTTAATAGTAACTGGATGAGTAAGTATGTGTTTATGCCGCTTTTAGCAATATTCCAACAATATCAGAAATGGGCTTCACACGTTGTACTCATGTGGGGAATCGACTCCAAGTCTTCAGCGTGACGAGCGGACGCTTTAACCATTAGGCTACCCCATTGTCCCTGGACATTTACCATGTACCTCTGATATGCATTCTTACCTTCTATTATTAACATAATTTTGCCTCAAATATAATGGCCAGTCGCAAACTCTTATGAATCAAAGATATTTTAAGAAAGTCATAATGTTAATCAAATCGATGTTTAGATCTGATGCAGATTAATGTCAGTTAAATATCAGCCTCAGTGGTATAATTGGTTGTTTGGTTGTTTAACGCCGCACTCAGCAATATTCCAGCTATTTGGAGGCGGTCTGTAAATATTCGAGTATGGACCAGACCATCCAGTGATAAACATCATGAGCTTCGATCTACGCAATTGGGATACGGTGACATGTGTCAACCAAGCCAGCGAGCCTGACCACACGATCCCGTCAGTCGCAACTACGACAAGTATGCGTTACTGAAGACCAACTGTAACCCAGATCTTCTCGGGTCTCCGTCTATGAATCGAACGTGTGCCGTCCCCGTAAACACGGTACTTCGACCTCCTGGACAGAGCCTTTGATGATCTCCATAGACAAAACTCCCACCCCAATGTTAAATCATATTGTTATTGACATAATGCAGACCAATTCTTATAAGCAGCTTGCGATGAGATATACTCAAGGGAAGACAGAATCTGACGTTTCAGATTTACTGTTTGATGATGTGCAAAGACTTCATCTAAGAATGGACAATATTCATTTATGTAAGCCATCTTTTACCCAATCTCGAGAAAGCCCAACAGGGACCCAAGGAAAGCATGGTCTTAGATCAATAATAACAAACTTCCAGTGCAGTCCACGTCATTGTCCGCGTCTGTTTGGCATTGCTGACTTCTCAAGAATGGCGACCTGCTGGTACTGACGCAGGCTTTGAGACAATGATGTTAGCTGATTGGTTTATTGATCTGCTGTATGGAAGTGATTGATCTGCTGTATGGAAGTGATTGATCTGTTGTATGGAAGTGATTGGCCTGATCAACTAGAGTGCAAGCAGTGTTACAATGGTTTGATGTAAAATCAATCACTGCGAAAAGAAAATTCATATCTTGGCAATTGTGACGGCTTCATTAGTGCTTTGTCAAAATAACACTGGTAAATACAGTAAAACCGTTTTAACTCGCAGTCATGGAAAACACTGAACGTACATCACGTTGTCTGCGGTTCGGTTGGAAAACACTGAAAGTACATCACGTTATCTGCAGTTCGGTTGGAAAACACTGAAAGTACATCACGTTATCTGCAGTTCGGTTGGAAAACACTGAAAGTACATCACATTATCTGCAGTTCGGTTGGAAAACACTGAAAGTACATCACGTTATCTGCAGTTCGGCTGAAGCGGAGCACAGGAATCAGACTTGTATCGATAAATGTTGTTGTGTTCTTCTCTCAAAGTATATGCTATTATTTTCTCTTACTTCCTAACATATCGTACACTGTTGGCTTCTAAAAGCGTATGCATGTTAAACTGAAGTGTAAATAGTTCTGTCACACTGGCTTTGGTCTGTACTGCACTCATTTATGTTAGATGTTATGTTATGTACAATCCCATACTTTGATGTTCTATTATGATAGTTACAGATAAAAAAAACTTATGTGTAATAAAGTTATGAGTACCGACTACACTGGGTTAATGGAATAGTTTTCAGTAGTCTTGACTCGATAATTTACAGCTAAGTGACGATCTGGGTTTGAACTGGTCTTCAGCAACCCATGCTTGTCGCAAGAAGCGACTTACAGGATCAGCCGGTCTCACCGGATTGATGCTTGATTGATGCATGTCATCGTATCCTAACTGTTTACCCCAAATGTTGATTTCAAAGTTGGGCTCAGCAAATGTGTCACCGATTTCCAGGGGGAACGCATTAAGCATAATCCACAACACAGCAGGGGAAGGACTTTCTGAGCTCTAAAGACAGATGCAGTGAAAATGACAGGGTGTGTTCAGAACCCTGTGCAGCAAATGTACCACCAAATAATCCTCAATACAATGAAAGAACAATACTTTGGTGTTACATTTACTGGACCTTCCAAAATCTATCTCTTTGTACGGGTTGTTACTGACCAATGGGAACCAGTTCAAAGTGAAAAGGTTCATGTTTTCAGGTTTTGCTGCCAGACCAAACGTTCAGAGAAACCATTGAATCTGGAGGCTATTTTGGGGTTGTTTCATCTCACGTGCAGATTGTAAATCATGACAATGAGTTCATCGAGTATAAACAAGTCAATGCACAGATCAAAAGCTCTTTTATCGATTAGAACCTCAATGAAACATGAAATGTGAAAGAAATCAATTCAACACATACATACAGTTATCTCGTCAATTTTCCTTGAACACGTGAGTAAAATTCAACAGAAAAGAGATACAAAAGGTTACAAAAGGTGTCCTTTCATGGAGGCGAGCTAAACAGGTAGCTTACCGAATACAGTCCCTTTATCGACCGCCCTAAAATGTCAATACTTAATACCTAACTCAGATAGTGTATTTGTCGTGGAAATTCACGAAGTGTGTGTATGTGTGTGTGTGTAAGTGAGTGTGTGTGAGTGATTGTGCGTGCGCGAGCGTGTTTTGCCTCATTCCGCCATATTAAAGCCTGTAAATGACCCAGTACAATATAGTGTCTGATACTGTGAGCAAAGTTCCACGAACTCACCAAGCCTGGCCTCAGGATCTACCAAGGCACCACGCCTGACCTCCCGATCCACCAGATCACCGAGGTGGCCTCAGGTTTCAATATGTCGCCTCTGTAACAACCAATTAGATTCTTTCCCGAGTTTCCAGCGCAATAATCACACACATGGAAATTGACCAATGAAAGCCGTTTTCTGTTTCTGAGTCATTCAGACATGACCAGACCAGACGTTTGTTCAAAGCAGAGGGTAGTGCTAAAAAGAGGGTCAGTGGTCAAATATGAAATGTAGTTAGACAAATTGAAAACCATGAGCAGAAAGGTAAAATAATGATCTACAAGCTCAACACAACTTTTGGGGGTGAAAAACATGGTTTGATTGAACCGCATGTTGAAATAGTCGGGCTGTCTGGTTTTCGATCAGGTTTTTAAGTATCGAGAGTGTCACCGCTTGTGTATTATATGCAATGAGTGTAGCGGTAGAATTTTCTTAAATCTGTATTTCTTCACCGATTTCGTTCACATTTGAAATAATATGTTAATCGAAATATGAGTGCAAAAGTCTCTCTCTCTCTCTCTCTCTCTCTCTCTCTCTCTCTCTCTCTCTCTCTCTCTCTCTCTCTCTCTCTCTCTCTCTCTCTCTCTCTCTCTCTCTCTCTCTCTCTCTCTCTCTCTCTCTCTCTCTCTCTCTCTCTCTCTCTCTCTCTCTCTCTCTCTTTTAAATATTGTCCGAACAGTGATTCCAACCCCGGTGGTTACATGGCAGGCTGGAACAGCGTACATGCAAAAGAATAAAGAAAACATACAACCTGACGACAGCATTGGAATGCTTGGCGCACTTCTTTCCCAGACAACCGTTACTTTGATCATGACAAATGCGAGATCGGTCCATGTACCTTCAGAGAGATGCCCATGTTGTTGATTAGAGAATTGTCTGGTCCAGACTCGATTATTTACAGACCGCCACCATATAGCTGGAGTATTGCTGAGTGTGGCGTTAAACAACATACCAACCTTCAGATACCTATGTACGTTTTATGTGGCAGTGATATTCATTGTGTTTAATGAAGTGTGCATGAGATATACAGTGAGGGGTGTGCTAGAGGTTTGTATTACATTTAGACAGGAAGATCTGGGAAGTTGCTTCAAGCAATCTGTTCCAGTATCATCTTCAACCTGCCTCAGTGTGGACGGTTCTCGCATTTCAGGGGAGCTAACTCTTGCGTCTTATCTCGCATGACCAACATCGTGTGTGACGATCATAATACATGCCATTCTATTTTGCAAGTCGGATTACTGTTGTTCAGAAGTGAATATTACCGCCACTGCCTTTATTGCTATAATCACTGGTTTTGTATAAATTACCTTTGAATTTGTACTGCCAATCTCTGTTGTGTTGCCATAGTGATGCCTTTGTATTGACTGGCATTGGTTTGTGAACTTAATTAGTATTAGAATACAATTGTTAATTACATCATAAAATATACTAGTAGTCTCTGGTATTTGTCAGTCGTCATGGTTACCAACGTGGAAGCAGATGAATTTGGCCGTAAACACCTTACAATCCGAATGCGATATGGCAACACATCAGGATTAAATGCCCGGGATATGCAACTATACTAAAGGCAGACCAATGAAATTGCGATTTGTTCACTCTCCAAACTAGCGGCCATAACCATATTAGTTCATTTGTCTTTAGCCGTCTCAAATACAACTGAAGAGTCTTGAAAACACCCCTACAGACACGGCCATTATAACAGAACAGAATTTTGAATAGATGTCGATGATTAGAGAGAAGAACGGTTAGTGTGAAGAACTGTGAAATACATTGAAACTCTGCCCGGCCCATGTATATTCTGCAGTTGTGTGAAGCGCCTCATAAATGCACCATTGCAATACAATTGACAATTCTTATCTCTGTCTCCCGTAAATAAGTAGGAAACCTTTATACAACCTACTAAATGGCGCTGACAAACCCACGATTTGCGAATCCTGTCAATCTACACATGACAACTCGGTTCATTAGACGCTTCATTTGGCCAATCTTGTACCCGTACAATTTAAGTGGCACGGGAGGTAAATCTTTGAACGGGACACAGTAATTATATTAGCCTAAATTTGAAAATCTGTTTTGTCAGATTATGACACCAGTGAAATGTTCACCCAAAGATCTGATACCAGTGTCTAACGTTTCGTGGAACGAGACTGAATATGAGCACGGTTGAGTTTCTTTAGATGAGGTCCAGATTATCCCAGAGCTTTGTCAATCCATTTCATTTGCTCTAGAGATCCTATCACCAAACAGGTGAACACGTTGTACAAACATCGCTTGGAGGTGTCCTGCCACTTCGTGCTGATGCGCCATGATATAACTGATATAACTGCAATAACTGATATGACTGATATAACTTATATTACTAATATAACTTATATTACTGATATTTCTGCTATAACTGATATTACTGACATGACTGATATAACTACTATTACTGCTACAACTGCTATATTTGATATGACTGCTATAACTGATATTACTAAATAACTGATATGACTGATAAAACTGATATAACTCATATGACTGATAAACTGATATAACTCATGTGACTGATATAACTGGTATAACTGATGTAACTGATATAACTCATATGACTGATATAAC